GACGCTCCCCTTGCTGCATTCCGCCGTGCAGAATCGCCACATCTAAGTAACAAAAACGGCAACAACAGTATCAAGAAAGACTCCGAGCACAGTAGAATAGATTGATGCACATTAAGTAGATCATGTACAATGGAAGCCCGCTCACACTCGTTGTAGGCCAACACGCATGACATATCAAATCTTGTCTCATTTGTGTATATTGGAAAAAAGTCTACAGATGTCAAACAAGCGAAAATATGCCAAATAAACACGTCAGTGCAGAACCACACTGCGCCGACCATCCATGCGAGTTGTGGCGAGACAGAGCAGTTTGCCCGCTGCAGAGCGGCATTCACGAAAAATTTGCGAACAATGCAGCAAACGCATTGTCACTAGGAGACTGACAAGGGAAGAAAACACCCTAAAAGCTCCTATGCAGAGCGAAAACGCCCATAATTACAAGCAGACGCTTCAGACGAGTGCACTTGAAGAGCTGTCACACAAAGCATAGCAGAATGCCCTCACTGCAGGCCCGGGTACAGAGAACGAGAAATGAAAGACGCCTCGATTTCTGCAACCCGAAGGCTTGAACGTACACTTGAAGGTCTGATTAGCATTCCTTCGCAAGTCTTGCGAGCTTTCGCCGCATAGGAGACGTGCAGCGGCTGCTCGGGATGCAGCGTCCCCAGAACCCCCCGAAGCTCCTGCAACTGGTGCAGCTCCTGGTGCAGCTCCTGCTGCTGCGGTGCCCGACCCACATCGCCCTTCAGTCACTATTTGCTGCTCAATAGCACCCTCAAGAAGGAATGCTAGATCTTCGACTCTCTGCTGCGAGTTGCAGAAGACGATGCCACCTGCCTTCGCCGCTGCTGCAACTGTTGTCGGTGGTGGCCGTAAGCTGTATTGTTGCTGCTGCTTTTCAGGTTGCTGCGACAGTGTGAGCAGCCCGAGCAGGTTTTTGGACAGCCAGTCAAACTTGGCTTGTTCACCGTCCAAAATCTGCACTCTCTGTTGGACAGTGTGCGCCGCCTGCGAAATGGAAGGTGAACATTGTCACGAAGCATTGGGGAAAAAAGTAAAATCTGGCGCCAGTTCGCTTGACTGCGTATCCCTCAAAGCTTCTACTCAAGTTTACAGTTAAAATCTTGTGCATACACACAGGCTGTGTTCTACAGCGTATTGCCGTGGCTACCAGCTCACCTGCCCTGCTTCGCCGACGGTTATTCGGATTGGATTGCGAAGAAACTTACTGCAAACGGAAAATTGGCACGGACTAAAGTTCACGGCTCTTGTGAGCAGGCGACTGTGAGGCCACTACGTTATTCAGCGACGGCGAGAGCCCCACCATGTTCAAGTCGTCAGCTGTCGAAGCACGCGCATAGGATGTATCGCGCTGCTACTACTGCCCAAAACACTTACTTTGCAAGGGCCTCGCACTTGCGTGGCATGGTGGCGCTGAACATGCACGTGACCCTGTCTGGCCGCAACGATGAGAGGACTTCTTTTAGTTGGTTTTCAAAGCCCATTTGCACCATCTTATCTGCTTCATCCACTACCGCCATAACAACTTTCTCAAAAATGCCAGCGAGGCCCTTCAGGCTACATAAGTCTATCATACGTCCAGGATTGCAAACTACAACGTCGGGACCACGACGCAAGGCGCGGAACTGCTCGGTCTTATCAAACCCGCCAGCGACCAACAGACGACTCACAGGCACGTCGGCCCCTCCTCGCGTGAAGCTGTGGATCTCCCCATCCACCTGCACGGCCAGCTCCCTGGGGAGTAAACAAACAAATAAACACATAAGGTGGCAAATCTTATCTTGTTACTGGCTCAGCAAAAGCGGCCACCGAAGAGCTCTCCGGCGTTCTTTCAGGTGGAGAAACAGCGCTTAAGCACCAATGAACCACTAGGTATGCTATCAGCGCTTTGTAGGAAAAGTACTCAATGCTGCACAGCTACTAACATACTGGATTCCAAAACACAAAAGGCCTTCTAAACGTGAAGCGCTCAAGGCACAAAAAGTACATGATTAACAACGCACCTGGTGGGGCATACGATAATGACTGAAGGCCCACTTCTTTGTTCCTTTGCTGTTGATGGAGGCGCATTATCGCTGGTTGCGTGGCGAGTAAGCCACTGGTCCTTGTCCTTAAGGCTGACGACGCGAGTCAACGCGGGAATGAGGTATGCGGCCGTCTTCCCGCTTCCCGTCTGAGCTACAGCCAGGCAGTCACGTCCTTTCAAAAGCACTGGAATGGCCGCAGCCTGAACCGCCGTGGGCAGTCGGTAGTCGCGTCGCTGCAGAGCAGACCATAGGCCCTAAAAACAGAACGCCGAGCAACCGCAAAACGCGGTGCAATGAAGTGTGAACTCGTTCAAAATATTCTGCAGGTCGACACACTCACAGCTGCAAACACTATTCGACGCAACCATATTTTAAGCAAAACACGCAGCAGTTCTTTACAGTTCTGATGTTCACAAGCCAAGCTGGCCCTGCAGCAGTGAACTGAATGCGCAACCAAGCCAGAACAAAAGCCATCACTTCCCATGCAGCTGAATCGGAGCATGCAAAGCCACAGCAATCGCCTTCAAAAGGCCCCTCAATACGAGCTTCCTTTGCTTTGCCGCTGCTAGTACTACTGCATATTTTGTGTGTTCCCTACCTTCGGGAGGGAGCCCTTAAGGTGAAGGAATGAAGCAATTGGACGAGGCGCTTGTTTGCCTGTAGTATGAAGCTGCAAGGAATCGCGGACCTCTGCAACAGCCTCTAGAGTGAGAGCTGTCACATCAGCGTGCTCTTGGTATATGTCCACCGTGTATTTGGGATAAGCAATCCTGCACACGGAAAAAGAGTCCACACCAGCTAAACTGGAGCAAATAATCTGGAGAAATACATTTATGTACATGGGCAGTACTTCAGTGGCAGAAGCACGACCATCTAAATGATGCACATAGGCTAAGGCACTGTGAGCGCATACTCATCGTGGTTTACTACAGGGAGAGACCGTCCCCTCGGTTCATCCTCATCATCAGTCGCCGCGCTGCTGCTTTGTGTCGGTGCTTTTCTCTTCCCTCTAGCGGCTTCTTTTAGCTGCACCAGAACAAAAAATGCAGACCTGCAGGAAAGACAGTGTGCTCAACCCCCCGAACTCCGCCGACTCAGTCCTTCCTCGGTTCAAGCACGTGCGAACTCATGCCTTTGTCTTAACACTCATCTACCAGCCCTCCCACAACACACTGAGATGGCTCTCTGGGCGTTGAGGTGTTCTACTGATTCAGCAGCGATGTCATCGTCATCAAAGAAACGCTCTTTGTCCGTCCTCTCCGCCTCGCCAGCTGCTTCTCGACGTTGTCTTTCTTCTATCTCGGCATTTTCGCGAAGCAGCGTTTCGTTCACACCATTCATGAATGCATCGAGCGGATCCACCTCGTCGTCCTCCTGGGAATGCTGTAGCTGGCTCCCTGGAGGCGGGAGTTGGGTGGATTCGGCGGGAGCCGACCCCTTCTTTCCGGACTCGCGCTCAAAGAAGGCCTCCATATCTATATAGAGACGTATGCGCACGTTCAAGTTCTTTGCTGGTTGCTGTACTTTCCACCCGCGCAGCGCTTGCTCGGTCTTGCCGTCGTCGCTGCTGTTGCCTCGGCCACTGCTGCAACGCCATATGCTGTCGCAAGTGATGCTACTGTAGTGAGCAGCCAGTATTGTATACAAGCTAGCAATTTGGGTAGAGCCTTTGTCCCTGAGCCGATGCCTAGTCTCTGCCCTGTGGGGTTGGCGTTCACCCTCGAAGAGCCACTGCTACCGCTGGTGATCCAGGGCCTACAAATCTGGAGGTCCCAGAGACCGACGGCCTCGAGTAATATAAAAAGCACACCAAGCAGAAAGCAAGGAGACGAGCTAGTCTCCTCCCCTATGTCGGGGAAGATGTGACCACCTTCTACTTCGCTTTTCGCAGCCTTCTACACCGGCGGAAGCAGCAGAATAAGACTGCAAAGACGTGCTGATGTGAAGTTTCTTTGTTCTTTTCATCAGTTTGGAGCTGTAATAGCCCGTCATCCCACTGTGGATCCTTATTATATAAATCGTAACAATGGGGCTTGCAGTGCATGCAGCAACCGGAGGCCCGAGTAATGAAGTGACAGGGAACGTCAACTGCAACCTATCCCACCAAATTCGTTTCTTGTATGCAAGCGCCGCCTAAAAAAATTTGCATTGTGCGTAATGTAAGCTGAGTTCACATGTTCACCTTGGGTCTTTCATTTTGTCGATGAACTCCATAGGCGTCTGAGTTCTTCTCAGGCCTCCTGTTCTGACTGAACAAAAGCGGGTGAACACTACGCTCACCCTCTTCAGCTTAACAAAAGTAGCGGCTCCCAGACCAGAAGGGCAGTACAGTACGGGTATGGACACCCCACTGCCTCATGAGGCTGTACCACCAAAACACGAACTGGGCTGCTACCGTAGGCTAGCGCTAACTTCAACACCTGAGCCCAGCTTGAGCTGAGCACTATGCTCCACAAGCTTTCGCTCAACTCGCTACGGAATAGAACAGTTGTGAAGCGATGCAAAGACTACCACCACTCCTATGCGAGCCATCACTATTCAGCACAAATTTGCCCCTTTATAAGTTTGAAAAAGACGGCAGGCTGTCTCCGCAGAAGAGCGTTGAAGGCCCGCACATCATGCTATTCTTAAGGCGTACATGGTCCTGGTGCTCTCGCCGTCATGAATGCTAACATGACGGCCCGTCCCAAAACTACTGCGAAGCGCAATGCCGGTGCTGTTACGCAGTGTCCAGCGCCAGTATACTGGTGGGTGTCCAGTATCATCTAAGCGCTCGGAAGGAATGGCATGCTCTCCAAGAAAACCTCTACGGGTCTCACGGTCATGGAAGGCAAGGCCAGGTGAAATCTACAGGTGTTGGGCTCTGTGTCCTCACATGACTAACACAGGTAGGCCTGCCTATCCAACTGTGCACAAGGACTGACGGGCGACCCAGACAAGCCTGCGACACCGTCAAGCAGCTTTGCGAGTCTGCGCAGTCCTGCTAGCATAGGCTGTTTTGAAAGCTTCCAATTCACGCTGTAGGTGCTCAAGGAATTCATCATCTGGGTCTTCATCATCCCAGCCTGCGCACCACATAATAATAGTTTCTCCCTTTGGATAGAACAGTTTGTCGCACAGCTCTTGCTCGGCAACACTGCCTACAATGTGATGAAGAAAGGCGTTGACCAGGTGGTTGAAACACTCAGTTCGCCGAATGAAAGACTCCGTGCAAAATGTAATCACCTGCTGCATCCCAGTCTTCGCTCCACTGCTTTAGCTCCGCGTCCACCGGCACTTCACCACCTGCAGGTGCGCATATGCAGAGCCAAAAGCCTCCTGTGCTTTCCCCCTCTTGAAACATTTCCCACAAATCTACTGCAGCTTTAATGGCGAACTCGTTATGGAGCTATCTGCCCACAGTTTCACCGGAGCTCTCGGATGTAGACTCTGTCGTGTCCTTCATCTGCATGGACATCGTTTTCTTAGTACAGTAGGCTACTACTGGAAACCCCTGCCACCCAACAACTCAACATCTCAGCGAAAAATATTTGACTTCGAAGTCCATTCTCCTTGCGTTCACGACCCTCGGGCAATTCTGTATGGTCATAAAACTCACCTATCTCATCGAACTCTTCTAACTCGTCATCTGGCTCATCAAAGGCCTCCTCCTGAGTTTCTGCGCCTGTCTGCTGAGCTGGGGAATCGGTGCGCTGGGGCTCCTCCCCTGCTTCGCCCTGGGATTTCATTTGTGGCGCTGAGCAAAAAATAACAGTTCAACGTGCGGCGCCAATTGTCAAAAATTTGTAATAGTACGATCTCATGCAGCAGCACAAGTACCCAAACGTACCCACGAGAGGTGGAAATACCGGTGGAGCGACACCCCAGCCGTCTACCACGCCAGGCCGCCCGTATACCAGCCCACGAAACCGAAGCGTGGCACTTTCATAGCACACACAATGCTCTCAAACCGTCAGAAATATAACACGGTAGCAACAACACACTGGGCGTGGTATTTTCAGGTCAACAGCGACAGCGGCTGCGATCACATGCAGTCAGCGGCTAACCGTATGGTGAGACGAAAGGTCAACTTAGTTGGGCCTCCTTTTCAGTAGAAAAAGGCTTTTCAGTGGAGCTGCAGTCACTAAACAGACAGCCGTAGCATGACCATCGCAGACAGATGGCAGCCAGCCCCAAGCAACTCACCGCGCTTAACAATCCTTCTGAAGAGTGCAGCGACAAAATACCCGGAGAAACGAGGACCATGCAGACATTTAAAAACTCTACCGTTCTGATTTTCCACACAGGATTACCGAATTGCTGGAGGGTGTCACTAATTGCACATTTGTCCTGAACTGGGTGCACTCAGTACGTATGCAAGCCTATTGTGTAAGAGTTCCCCTGTACTACCCCAGGCTGCTTAGGGAAGGAACTACGGACTCCCTGTTATCATTACAAAAACCGCGTGAGAGTAAGCTCAACCAGCGTAGAAGTTTAGATTTCTGTGGGCTTTGCACAATACCTTTCATTATGAAAGGCGTAGGAAGTTACGAATACATACTGCCTTCGTAAGATGGAGTTTTCTTACAGGAACTATCTACGTGATAACTCGATTCATTGCCTTCTTTTGCATACATGTTGTGTAGGAAGCTCTGCTGCTCTATCTGGGGTAGGGTGTCTTGGAGTGCGATACTGGACTGCTGCCGGAGGAGGACCGGAGCTCGGAGCTCGAAATTCCAATTTTGCACTTCTTTTCGTTTTTTTGTGTTTTTGACTGCTTTTTATCACCCCTTCCGTCCTCTTGGGCTTTCGCTAGCATTGTGGTGTCTCCTCCCTTTACGGAAATGTCAATTGCGTGGTGCACAGCCACCACTCGTTATAGTTCATAACCACCGTATTTTCGAGAAGCTTAGCTTTTGATGAAGAATTACACAGTGTCGTCAGTATTCGGGCCCTTGGCTCTTCGCAGTCCCGCCCTTCATGATTATAGTAGGAATCCCCTCCCGAAGCTTCGTTAATTTCGACTACTACCGTACTAAATGAATCCTTGACGCATCCACTTGAGACTCTTTCTGCCTACGTCCCGTTTAAAAACCGACACCTAAACTGTAAATGAATATATTTCTGCTTGATACTTACTACTTATGCACCACAAAACGTTTCCACTGGTGCAAGGACGGGAAAAGAATGCGTTTCTTCTGGCATTGGTGGCGCAGTCAGGTGAATATAAACAGCAGAAATTGATGTGTTGTGGAAATAAAATAATCAGCTTGCCAGCATTATTGGATCGTGTAGGATGGTTTACGGAGCCACTGAGTACTTGTGGCCACAAACCATGGAACGTTATTGAGTGCTGCGATTTACGCCCTTAGCTGGGGAGATCAACAAAAATCTCTTCACTAAGAATCAGGAAATTGTAGAGCATGCCTCCAATAAGCAAGCTTCTAAATCACACTATTCTTCCCTTCCTACAGGCAGTACGTAACATTCTTCGAGTAGCAACTGTGCATATTGCTTATCTTAAGCGCGCTACAGCCAGTGATTATCTGAAGGCAGTACCGTAAGTAACTTGATACACAAGGATAATAGAATTCAGCTTGTGTCCTCAGGGAGCAGTGGTGAGCTGTCTATGGGTAAGGCGAATGCTTCACCGCGCTTAATCTCTCCGTTTGCTGCTTAATTAAACAGTCAGGAATTCGATCCCTGTCAAGAAGCGTGCTAATTTTATACTGACGAATAAATTTGTACCAAATGAGTGAGTTAGCAGGAAATAACAGCTTCACCTTCCCGTGTCACGCCGTTCCTGCTCGAGCAGCTTTCCTGTTGACGTACTACTGAGAAAAGTTGCCTTGCACTTAACGCCATGCAGGCAACATACCGCTTTTTTTCTAGCGCATTTCCCTTTTCGTTTCGCATATTTTGTTCTGTGGTTCGCCAGTTTTTCGGGCGGGCTCGCCTTCTGAGCTAAGGCAAGGAGGCAGTGTCTGCCGCACCTTGCTATATACGAGAGAAGAAAGAAAACTGCTTCAGCACTCTCCATGCATTACAGTGTTGTGTGCACGCTCTCCAGCAAGTGTCTGACAACAGCGGGTACTTTCTAAATTTCTGGCGGGGGTAAGCAGCCTGCCGTCCCCAATGGGCCTCTGTTGCCAACCTCGGCAGTAGACACCTCAAAGGCCTGAACGCGATGCGCTCGCTCTCTCTCACCACACGCATATCATAGTGTGCTAATTAGTGCAGAGTTGAAGTACAGAAGAATCCAGCATGCTGTTGGGTGCCGGGAGGAGGCAATTGCCTGGCCGAATTTGGGCGTCAACTGACTGTTCCTCACCACTGCCATGCCATTGCACCTACTTGGCATAACGCGAGTCATCCAGGAAGCGCCCGTGTTGCAGGCCTCGCGCTTCATCATCTACGTATACAAACGCGCCGATGTGCGCACTGCTCAAATGCAGCATGACTTGGTACGCAACCGGTCGCCTGGTTGGGGGGGAACACTTAGCGGGCTTTAGACAATGGCGAGGAGCCCATCATTGTCGCCATTCTGACGAGCATACGTGCACCGGGACGACGCGCACCGGATATTAGTGTGCTGCAGATGCTTTTCTCTAACTCACAAGCACGCGTTGACAATTGTGGGATTCTTGTCTCCGTTAAACAGCAAAAAAAGCAGAGTGGCTCCGATAGGTGTGATTTTGCGAGAAAGACAAGTGCCGAAGCGAGAACCAGCCGGGGGCTCTATTCTTCACGATCTACGCAGCATTACAGTGGAGGCTCGAAATACCGATTGGGACCATTTAGTTCGGAAGATGCGAATTGCCGTAATAAGTAGAAGTGATTAACACGCAAGTTTCGCTCAGTGCGCCCTGAAGCTCGGCTCAGAGTTGAGAGCTGGCGTGAGGCGCTGAAGCTTTGATGCGACGTACGAACAAGCTGCGAATGACAAACATCAGAAGGATACCACGCATCCCTCAAAAGACGGACTAGCGATACCGTTGTTTGCTTCTTTTTTAGTGTCTAGCGGTACTCGCCTTTGATAAGTAGTATTCAATATGGACCTATACAGCGAGAACGTGAGTGAGGGAAATGTTAGTGCCAGGCCAGGTTTAGCTCTTTACAATCTGCAGGCTGCCCCAGGAAAGAATTCTCTAGCATCTCATTAGAACAAAACACGTGCGCAGTAGAAGGTTTGTGAACCCATGGCACTTAACTTTCCGGGGCACACTATCCATGCACGTGAGGGACAGGTGCGTAATAGGTACATTCAACCAGACATGCTTCTGAATGCCCAAGTTCGCCAACCAAGCCAAACAGGAAAGCAGGAAGCTCCGAGACCCCAAATTCAAGCTCAATAAGGCACCAAAGACGCCCTGCAAATGTGTGAGTTGAGGAGACAACACCCAGAAGACAGTCCACAAACGCATAAAGCCAGAAAGGCTGCCAGGTTACGGCGAAAATGAGCCGCTGTGAATCTTCTTGCTCCACTCAAGTGGCAGTTTTTCAGTAGCACTACAACCGCTGCCACATGAAGTGGGGGGCCGCACGAGAGCACTCGTTAGTGCAACACCGACGGTGTTTACGCAGGTAGGCCTAGTTCAATGCAACTGCTCAAAGAAACGATACGGGAAAAGGTTTACCGTGGGGTGCTTTCAGGCGTTGGATCAACCTAAAAATTCAGGTGCGGAAATAGAGTAGGAAAAGAGAGCGACATATCGCTACGTTTCTTTAGCCCTAGCTGCACGGCCATTTTAGACAGATTGCTGCTAACCTGGGGCAAAGAGACAGTAGCAAACATTTCGCTAACTTTGAGAGGACCGCTGCAACAGTAAAAGCGATGCTTGCCATTGTGGAGCTCGTCGGGTACTGTTGTGTGGTTGTAATAAAAGACGACACCGTCAGCTTCGAAGAGTGGAAAGAAGCAGTAACAAAGTCCGCACCAGCAAAATGGCCACTGGACGGAGCAGAAAAATAGTGGAGGAAACAACGGAGAAAATTAGAGCTCTACACGTTTAGCTGGCGACCCACGAGGCCCAACTGCACCCAGGTCAAACAAAGGTGACAAAAAGCTTTGCGATTTGACCGGCAACACGAGCGGCATGATGTGTCGAACGCAAGTGCAAGTGCTCATTTGCCGGAAGGTGATTCTTCAGGGGACTTCACGGTTCGTAGGTTAGGCAAAACCTGAAAGATGGCGGACGTGACGAACACTAGGATAGAAGCTGTGCAACTCCACCCTTTTCAATGCAAGCGTACTGTTAGGGAATCGAATGCACTAACAGGTCTCATGATAGGGGCAAGAAAAAACAGCATTAAAACGGCAAAACCACGAGCTGCACAAGACGAACCTCCTAGCCGCCAGCGACAATGTGGAGGGCTGCTTGTGTCCCGCCAGCCTAAAGCCGAATACCATTGAAGTCTTTTCCTGCTGGAAACAAACGCTCCTGACGCAAGATCAAGGGGATGCAATGGGGATACAGGCTACAGCACTGCCACAGGCGTATGTTAAAAAAGGAGAGCATAGCTCACTTGTTGTGGAGCTACTCAAGTCAACCGCTGTCAGCAAGCAAGCGGAGGTAGAGGACAAGGCGGAGGAACCGCATGAGGCTCTCTTTAGTGATGGACTGGAAGTTATACCACTGTGGTGGACGATAACTGTTTACGGACTCGCCGGATGGGAATCGGGGTTTACTGCGCAGCATGGGAACGAGAGCTGTGCTTGTCCTTGAGATACTTGGGTATGACTGTGAAA